GTTAGTCGGACTTGGCTTCTTTCTCTTCTACCTCAGAGGCTGGACTCTGCAAACAAACCACAGGATACACAAACATCAAGTAGGCCATATGCCACAGCCAGTCTCCACCACTCAATACAGCATGGACGCACTTAAACATGTGCCGTCTCTCTTCTTCCTCAAGACAGTCTCTCCACATAGCCCAGGCTAGTCCCAAACCCAGATGCACCTTCCTCTGTTCCCACAGTACAGGGATTGAAGGTGTGTCACCATGTCTGCTTTTTTTTTTTTTTTAATTTAAAGACAGATAGCCCTAGCTATCCTGGAACTGGATTTGTAGACCAGGCTGGCCTTGAACTCATGGAGATCTGGTCTGGGATTAAAGACTTATACCACCACCACCCAGCTAAACTTTCTAATCAAGTATCTGACAAGACAGTCAATGCTATGTACTACAACCAGCCAAAAGAATACTACTACAGGGACTGGAGAGATGGCTCAGGGGTTAAGTTCTTCCAGAGGTCCTGAGTTCAATTCCCAGCACCACATGGTGGCTCACAACCATCTGTAGTGAGATCTGGTGGCCCTCTTCTGGCATGCACTGTATACATGATAAATAAATAGAATACTAATTCAGCTGGAGGCTGGCTTGGTGGGTAATCCTCAGCACCCACACAAGGGCCAGATGGGTGCTGCAGTCCACCTGTAATCCCATCAAAACACAAAAAATGGAGAATAACATCCACACTGACCTCTGGCCTCTATGCATACAGGGCAAATACGTATGTACGTACACAATAGTTAACATTCCAATTTGCCTTCCTAAGCTAAGCAAATATAACACAAAGTTAGAAAACCAAGAACCATATGCTTCGCTGGGCAGTGTTGGCGCACACCTTTAATTCCAGCATTTGGGAGGCAGAAGCAAGCGGATCTTTTGAGTTCAAGTCCAGTCTGTTCTATGGAGTGCCAGGACAGGCTCCAAAGCTACACAGAGAAACTCTTGTCTCCAAAACCAAGACAAAACAAAAAGAACCCTACGCTTAACAAAACCGAGTTGTTGTCAGGCACGGTGGACCATCTCAAAAGGACAAAAGAGCCAGGCTGTGGTGGTTCATGCCTTTAATCCCAGCACTTCAGAGGCAGAGACAGGTGGATCTCTGTGAGTTCCAGGCCAGCCTGGTCTACAGAGCAAGTTGAGGATAGGCTCCAAAGCTGCAGAGAAACCTTGTCTCGAAACCAAAAGGGACAAAATAATCTGTTATCAAATCTTGTATTGCAATCTGAGTCTTCCTCACAACTCATGAAAAGACTGATATCAACCTATTTTTCTGGACTGAGTTATCACTTAGCCCTAGATAAGCAGGTATTCTTCAGAAAAATGAAAACAAAACCCTCATTTTTTTCTTTTGAGACAGGGTTTCTCTGTGTTATAGCCCTGGCTGTCTTTGAACTCAAGAGATCCACATACCTCTACCTCCCAGAGTGCTAGAAATAAAAGCGACTGCCACCACTCCCTGCCCTAAAAACCATTTTTTTTTGGTCACAAGGGGAATGAATCTAATAATTTATGTACCCAGAATATGCAAACAAGGATTCCAGCACAGACCACGAAGGTGTAAAGGCAGAGAAAACCAGTCCATTTGTTCCAAGAAAGCCTTACAAAGTCATTTGGGAAAACCATTATGATCTCTGCATTCTAATCAAAATTGGCATAATCAAATCTCTAATTTACACATTGAAACGTACATTTAAATAAACCTCAACTCACTAAAAAAAAAAAAATGTTACCTATTCATCATGGAAAACTGCATGAAATAGTTCATAACAAAAAAAAAAAAAAAAAAAAAACTAATCTGAGCCACAGGTTGGTGGTGCACAACTTTAATCCCAGCACTAGGGAAGGAGAGGTAGGCAGATCTCTGAGTTCCAAGCTAGCCTGGTCTACAGAGTGAGTTCCAGAACAACCAGGGCTACACAGAGAAACCCTATCTCAAAAAAAAAGAAAAAGAAAAAAGAAAAAAAAAAAAGTAATCTGCTACATAAAAAATCCAATCTAACATGCACACAGTGCACTCTTCTGACCTGGTTCTCCGTCTCTCCGTTCTCTGCAGGCAGATCTGTAGTCTGCTGGTCAGCCGCTTCAGCCTGTTTGCCCTTTGCTCCCCTCTTCCCTTTTGTTTGCACTTTTTTGTCTGATGATTTATCCTAAAACAAGAGTAAGAGAGGATTTTAGTACACTTTGCATTCAATTTTGACCTGATACAGACTGTCCACAATGGACAGATATCATAACATACACCAGCAGGAGCCAACCTCACTCAAATAGCCCTGGTATTGGACAACTTGAGAGTCACTCCAAGTAGGAGACAAAGATCCCTAAGACTTGCCATCATACCTCATTAGCTAAGATTAAACCTAAAGCCTGTGCTGTGGTCTCCACAGCACCACGGCTCATTACCACGTGAGATTAAATGCAAAAGGCCTTGTAACCTTTGCCAACCCTGCAATTTCTTTTAAGCATGAATAATGCAAGTTCCACACAACCACTGTCCTCACAAGACTGGAACCCACAAATGTAGACCATTCACCTCAACACACAACGTTGTAAGGCCATGTTGTCTCTCCCGCTACACAGTCCCTTGCTCATACCATACAGTGAGTAGTTAAAAAGATCAACTCTGAGTTATCATTGTCACTTTGGTGTTTGCACAATCTGAAAAGCAAACCTTTACCAGTGTAAAAAAGTATTTCTGGACCCCACCTGGCTTATAGGGAAGAAGCTTAGCAATGAAACACCTAAAAACACAATAAGCAAAACAAAACTGCATTCAGGTGCAGGACCCTTTAAAAGACAGACCCTGCCCACTGATGGCAGACAAAAAAAACAAAAAAAAAAAAAACCATACATAAAACAATACATCCACTCATTATTGGGAAAACAGTTCAATAATCATTCAGGTCTACAAAATATCTTGGAAAAGAGACTCAGGGTGGTGGCAGCACACGTCTTTAATTCCAGCACTTGGGAGGCAGAGGCAGGAGGATCTCAGTGAGTTCGAGACCAGCCTGGTTTACAGGACAGCCAAGACTATTACACACAGAAACCATATCTTGTAAGAAATACGTGCACGCGTGTGTGTCTGTGCATGTTCGAACTGTGCCTGCAGAGGCTGGAGATTATCACACCTTCATATTCATCCCCTAGGGCGATCTGTCACTCAAACAGACCCCAGTGTGTACGCTTAACCAGTGAGTCATCGATCCAGCTCACCAGATTCTTTTGGGTTTCTAAAAGGGGCCTGCATTTGTGTATGTGTAGGTGCATGGCGTGTACCTGGTGCTGGGAACCAAACTCTGGTCCTCTGCAAATCCAAACGCTCCTAACTGCCTGGGATGTATCCAGCCGCCCCACAACCTTCCAGAGACCACGCAAACACTTGGAACTTCACCTAGGCGGCCTGCCTGGGCTTCCCTTCGGAACCTACCTTTCCCGCGGCCTTTTTCGGCTTCGCGTCCACCTTGGCAGGGGCGGGCTTCTAGGGAGAAGGAAAAAAAACAAATGTAAGAGATGGTGAGCAGCCCTGCTGACCCCGGCTC